GGAATATTAAATCACAATTTAATGGTTCTAAGAAAGCACTGAGATGGAAATTTTTTGCTGCTGCACGTGCACCCACAAAGTCCTACTGCGATCGGTACCTGAGCCTACTAGACGATGAGGATCCGAGGATTAGACCATATTTATATTCCATCGGCATGGAGAAGTGGGCCAGATCATGTTTCAATGTGAACCGCTATTCCATAATGATGTCGAACAATGCGGAGTCCATGAATAGTGTTAACGCGACCCCCCGAGAATACCCCATCGCTCAGCTTGTTGATTTCATTGTTGGACGAATGCAAAAATGGTTTCACGATCGTAGGGAACTTGCTCAATCAACATCTACTATTTTGACCAAACAATGTAAATCTGATCTCTGACGAAAGAGTTTTAGCGGTAGTAAATTTCACTCTAAAAGAGATTGATTTATTCCCGTGTCGTATTCACGTGGATTGGTGTTAAAATAAATTTTCTATTAAAATCTAGTTAGGCAAAGTTTTACTCATTGGTTTTGGAAGCCTTCTAAATTCGAAAAGTGTTTGTGGTTTGGAATTAAACTAAGTTGGAAAAAGTAATAAAGTAATTGGTTGATAAAAAGGAATATGAATTGATTTCAGGTAGTAGGAATTTTTCAGATAAATTAACTAGTTGGATTATTAAATTAACTAATTAATTTAGCTAGTGAGTAATTCTGTCACAATAACTCCATTAATTTTATCCTATCTCTAGGCATTATTAATGTGCTAGAATTGATTGACTAAATTATTTTTCTCATTCATTGACAAATGGACATAATAATTTTTTTCAAACATTAATTAATAAATTGGCCAGATTAATTAATTAGAACATTCAACAATTACTAGCAACTTAACATTTTAATTAATTAAAGTTAATACTCCAACATAATTGTTTTTCCTACATTCCTACTACCTTAATTTCAATTCACATTCCTAATACGTTTAAAAAGACATAGTAATAATAAAAAGTGCAAAAATTTAATAACAAAACATGTTTATAATATTAATTAAAGAAACTTACAACTTCCAGAAAAGCGGAATTGGAACAGAACTGGAACTGAAACTCCCAAAATAAAATAAAACTACAATTTTTATTACAAATTTCGCTGCTATGGAGAGAGGAAAATGGAGACTGATGATGATTTGAGAAGGCTGATCGACGCTGCCTTTTATAGGCCTAGGAATCTCCGGGGCGGGGTGTGGGGCGGCCGCCCGGAAGTTCGCCCTAGGAGGAATATCCGAATATTCCGCCTCAAGTTGCTGCCAGTTGCCAAACTTATGCGTTTGAATTCCGGGGCTGGATCCGGGGCGGTCGCCCGACAGGTCGCCCCGCAGACGATTGAATTATCACTGCACCCTATCCGCCACTTGCTTATATCTGTCATTTGGATCCCGGGGCTGGGTCCGGGGCGGGCGCCCAGCGGGTCGCCCGGCCCAACCTTGGATTTTGGGCTTCGAATTTCTGTGGCAAGCTCCATTTTTTGTGCTGAACATTTTTCTCTTCTGAAGCTATGGACGAAATTGAGCTTAAACATCTCAAATATTTTATTTTCTTTCAAGTTTTTATCCTGTTTGAACCAGTTTCTGTTTGAAAATTCTAAATTTGTTTTGGACACACTTTTTTTTATAAACAAAATGACATTTTGAGAAATTTAGAAAAGAAAATAAATATTTTTACCTTAATTAAATTTATTTACATACAAAAAACGTTTAATTATAAGAAAAATAATAAGTACAAAATGTACTTATCAATCTCCTTGCTCTACATGTGGCATCTGCGGTTATGATGGTACACTTTCACATTCATATTCATTTAATCACATCATTTCGCTATTCCCGTACTATCATTTTCTTACCGTTTTTTGTTTAGGTTCAGCCGTCATGCTCATATGAGTACTTGGTTGTTGATAAAAAAGGAAGGTCTTATGTTGTCAATTTCCGTGAGAGGAACTGCACATGTGGGGAGTTTCAACTAGATCACTTTGTTTGTGTTCACGCAGTTGCCGCGATACGCAATAGGCCAGGCTTATCATGTTATGACTACATATCCCCATTCTACACAAGTGTGGAGTGGAAACTTGCGTATAATGGGGTCATACACCCAATTCCTACTAGAGACTCATGGATAGTCCTTGATGAAGTCGCCACTATCCCATGTTTTCCGCCTTCATGCACTAAATGTCCACCAGGAAGGCCAAAAAAGAGAAGGATTCCATCTAACGGAGAGAGGAGGAGGCAGACTTGTTCACGTTGCACAATGTCCGGACATAACAAAAAAACATGTACTAATCCACTTCCAGTATGTCGTTCGTGAGCAAAATCAATCTTGCACCACAGAGTTTTAGGTTCCTTAACAGAAGAAATGCATTTCACTTTAAAACGATTTTTTATTAGCTGCTTTTGGACGCCATTTTTAGTGTCATTCTCTATTTTGCTTGACCATAGGAACAAAGTTTTATTAGTAGTACTGCCCTCTTCTTAATTTGTTTTATAATAAAACCTCATTACATATTCGGTCCTTTTAATGTTTTCTAGTGCGAATTACTATGTATAGTTTTATAAATAAATCATTGTTCTAATAGAAGTTTGTAAACACAAATCAGTACTAATTTTTTAAACCACATATAACACTGTCCTACAACTTTCTCATGTACCACTGCCCACAACTTTATCATATGTTACTGCCCCCAGATTATCCGAAACATGTTTTTTAATGCTTTGGAAATAATTAGCACTGACAATGTATGCAATACACTGCACTAATCTCCTCTGGTCATACTACCCATTTCATAATATACTGACCATTAACAAAACACATAGACCAACCGGCATGGATATAGCGCGTTCTAATGACCATTACAGAACACTATACTGACCATTATAAAAAGCATCATTTCACACTACACCGACCCTTAAAAACACATCATTCCTAGCCACTGCACAAGTATAGGTCAGCTTGTAATTGTTCCACCATTCTAATATTCACTATGCTTCTTCTAAAATAACCACGCTTCTACTAACAAAATGAATATTCGATAACCAAAACTCAACGGGTTAACATTTTCAATACTACCTGAAAAAACTACAAGTATTCCAAATTTAAAAAAAGGACATAGAAAAGAAAAAAAGATAACATTCTGTTTTTTTAGCGCGTATCAAAGATCTAAGTCTCCATGACGGTTGCAACCATGCATTCACTTAAATAACACTGCTATGCCCGGCATTTAGAGTCCTTGAAAGGAAGCATACATTAATAGGTCCGCAGTAATTTTCTTCCGATATGTATTTACTTGTCCTGGCTCAATTTCAATCACTTCTCTCCCCATCATCAGAAGCTCTGCCATCTTTATCACAAAATTCAGGAGCTTGGTCTGTAATAAAAAGAGTAAAATGCACTTATAAATTCAAATATTATTCAAATACTTTTTAACTAGACTTTGCTACTTAACGGACAACAGTAACACCTCAATAAAAACCCATATCAGGATATAAAAGTTTTACCCGTCCTTTTTCTGCGGACGCGTCAGTATAGGTTCAACTGGAAAGGCAGTGTGAGATTCTTCGCTATCCGTAATGTGCTTATATACCGCCAACTTATCCATTAAAACTGGCAGAAAGACCTGCAAAGACGGCGAAAATGGGTGCAATTTCTTCAAGAAACCCCCTTTGTAAACATTCGTGTCGTAAAACCTGGATGAGTTTTCCACGAATGTCTACTACAACTAGTACCCATTCAGAGCCTGTGTGCAGTGGCATGTACACAAAATCCGCTTCGGACCACGCACGTCCATACTCCATGTTATTTCCTTTGATGGTGTTCAACATGTCCGTATTCTGTGCTGCATCAGTATCTGTAATCTCTCTTTTCAAAACACGCTCATATAACACACACACTAACTCAACAAATGCTGGGCTTGTAGTTGCAAACTTTTGCTCCAGATCGAAATCGGCGGCTTTCTTTTACAGAAAAAAAATGCCACACTCATATGCTGCCATCAGTAAAAAAATTCATACTACAAATCATTAAATAGCATAAACTCAAGGTACCATACAAGGTTACAAAAAGAAAACATAAGCAAACAAGAACGAAAAAATCAGTGTTCGAATAGACACATGTACACACCAATTAGTACTCATTATGTAAACCCACAAATAACACTATCCTACAACTTCCTCAGGCTCACTGCCCACAGATTCTCTGAAACATGTTTTTAAACACCATGAAAACAAAGCACACTGACAATATAAGTACTACACTGCACTGTTCTACTCTGGTCATACTAACCATTACCATACCACACTGACCATTCTAAAAAACGCAATGACCATGCATCATGGAGACAACAATTTATATACCGTTGAAAAAACAAAACTGACCATTTAAAAAACTCAATTCTTACTACATTGACCATTAAACAACACTACACTGGCCCTTAAGAGTCACACAACACTGAGTATTAAAAAAACAACATACTCACCCTAAAAAACACAATGAGGCATTACACCCTATACTGACCATTTAAAACTCCACGTTTCAAACTATATTCACCACTATAAAACAATTTGATAAAGATTTACACAGTACAAGCAACCGCTACTAGATTTGACATACCAGGTTTGATAGGCACCCATCAGGGAAATAGAGGTTGTAATACCATGTTTTGCTCAAGGTGTCCTCCTCATCATCAAGCGCCATTATAGCATCTGCACTGAGCTTTTCATCTGTAGCAGTGTATCTCCGTCCCAGGTTCTTTGGCTTTTTCAGCAGACCCTTATTCATGAAGGTGTCAACCCTCTCTAACACCCCTACCTCATGAGGGTCCATTGGCTCAATGGTGAAAGGACCGAGGCACAGTTCATCACATAATGACTTATTTCCAATAACACCAGCCCTTCTTTTTGCTCGTTTGCGTTGTTCACCAGCCTTTTTATCTGAAAAGGTGAACCTCTCAGGAGATTTCAATTTCCGTTTTGGTCGAGCATATGCATCACCATGCCCCCCGGGGTTGTGTTCCTTCCACAACATTTAACAAATATGTTACAACACATTAGTATCTGATAGGATATTCACAACACATGAAAACATTATTCAAAGCGCAACGCTACTCACCACAAGTTGCGTGCAATGGATCTCTTCTTCGTTTGCGTTTTCTATGTGACTTTCATTGACTACCGTATCCGCTTCTACAACTTGCAGATCACCCATTGGCCAATCATCAAAACCCACCCCATTACATAACTACAACAACAGTGTGTACTTTTTAGATGGCAACAGGTACATTGAATATAATTTTCACACCATATTGCTCACTGATAATCTAATAGAAAAAATTACCTCCCTCAGCTGCGTGGATGTGACTCCGTTCCATTCCAGATTCAACCCCATGCCATTACCTTCTACACTGCCGCCATTATCAACAACCTGAATTTGCCATCAAAGAGTAAGAGCATGTTAGTAAATCTAATCCACACACATGAAAAATGCTAGTCCACTAACACCACCTACATTTTTTTAAGGTTTTAACGTATTGTACCCATACAGGCCACGTGTATTAGAGAATTCCTCATTGATATCACATTCCACACCGAGGACTCAAAAAAATATGTGCTTAAATGTATTTCCTAGAAGAACCGTCTAACATACTTTAATGTTCATAAAATGTTATCCGGCTATACTGTCCCCTATCTATTTTACATTAGCTCCCTGCCCAAGCCGTATCCAATTATGTGTTTGACTCAATGGCCCTGACTTGGGGCATACCCCACACTGTCCATAACACATAACTCACACACTGTCCATACCCTTTAGGGGGGACTGTTATTACTCTCCAATTTTATAGTAATATAAACACTGCCCTTCAATCGGCTCTTACATACCCACTGTCCCATGTCCATTAACACACACACTGTCCACCTGTCTCATGGGCCATGTTATTACTTACAATGGAGGATGTTAGCAGACGCACTGTCCACATGTTTCATGGGCATGTTTACACACTGACCACATGTTTGCTGTGTTTAAGAACAGACTTATAGGAACATATTCTCATTCATACAAAACTCAAAGGTACAAGGTAGTTGAGCATATACTAACCCCCTTCTTTTCACCTAAGACAGCGATAGGCACATCGGATCCCCCAGGTCCCCTGTCTTCACTACTTTGCTTCTCCACATCATTCTCCACCTGGACATTTAAAAAATGTGTACAAAAAAATTTAATGACATTCTTTTCACATACAAAGATCAACGTTATACATATATTCCCATTCACATAGGTTAACGAAATACATATGAAATCAGTGCAACTTACCCTTACAGTCTCTTCTGCATTATAATCTCCAACACCCC